CTTGAAAGCACACAACAACAACAACAATCCTATCTCATCAGCCAAAAGCAGGCCCACACTTTCCATTGAAATACTAATAAGTTTATATTTGTTAAAATTATTCTTAGATTTAATTACTGTATTGTTTTTTAAATGTTTTTGCTCTATAAATAAGATATGTGCAGTGTGCATAGGAATTCATTCATATTTTTTTCGAATTATAATCTGGCCCGCCAACAGTTTGGGGGACTGTGACCTGGCCCTCTGCTTAAAAAGTTTGTGGACCCCTGATCTAACCTATGAATAGGGATTTTTCTTCCATGACTCTATTTCTGCCTTCATCTTCGGTCCTCTGGTTCCAGGGCTTTGGAGAGATGCTCTTTCCCACTCCTTCCAGTGTCATGCTGGGCAAGGAAGGGTTAAGAGGAGGGAGTTTTCTTCCTAGAGAGGTAGGAAGGAAGTGAGCCTCCTCAGAACCGACTTTCTTGCCCCTCTAGGAACCAAACTTCCTCCACTTCACTCTTCCTTGCTTGGCTGGGGAGAGAAGAGAAGAGAAGAGAAGAGAAGAGAAGAGAAGAGAAGAGAAGAGAAGAGGGCCTCCTTAGACCCGCCTTTAGGTATGTGCCTACATTATAAAAAAAATAAAAAAATTCTGATTCATAGAAATGGTTTTATTAAGTTTTGGAAAAAGAAAGTTATGCTGCCTCACCCTTTTACTTTTCAAAACATTAAATAGGCTCTTTTATTCCGCTTTCAGTGAGACAGGTTGCATTAGGTACTTTCAGAGACAGAATCAGACACAGACTCCAGTCCTGGGCTTTAGAAGAATTAACTTGGTTACATAAACAAAGGGGATATTAGATGTGTTATTGTATTGTTATTGTTATTTATTGTATTGGGGTTTTTGTAGGTTTTTCCGGGCTATATGGCCATGTTCTGGAGGCAATTTTTCTCCTGACGTTTCGCCTGCATCTATGGCAAGCATCCTCATTACCTCTGAGGATGCTTGCCATAGATGCAGGCGAGACGTCAGGAGAAAAATTGCCTCCAGAACATGGCCATATAGCCCAGAAAAACCTACAACAACCCATGGATTCCGGCCATGAAAGCCTTCGACAATACATTCAATCTTTCATTCATCATTCATCCATTCATCAAGCGTTCTTACCATTTTTCTTGTTGAAGATGATCAGCTTCTTGAGAGGAGGCGGCTGTTCATGATGGTGTTCAGAAATGGTGTTCAGTTGGTCTGACACACACTCTCTGAGAGAGAGGGGGGGGTGTCCTTTTATGTCGTGTTTTCTGTTGATGTGATTCTGAAGGTGTAAATTGCTGACAGGCAGATCCCATCAGTTCCTGGACAGATGTTGATTTTGTTTAATTGGCTTTCCTTATCAAGGAGCCTTGTAAACATTTCTGTAAGGAGCCACAGTGTTGACTTCCTTACTTAAAAGAACCATTATAGACACTTAATAGACACTCGCTGGGACACCTCAGCAAGTGAGAGTCCAAAAGTGGCAGGCTCAAACCCAGAACCTCAACCAATGGCTGATACCAAATGAGAGACTCCCTGGGCACACAGAGGACTGGGCGACTTGGAAGGCACTGAACAGACTGCGCTCTGGCACCACGAGATGCAGAGCCAACCTTCAGAAATGGGGCTACAAAGTGGAATCCTCGACATGAGTGTGGAGAGGAGCAAACCACTGACCACCTGCTGCAATGCAACCTGAGCCCTGCCACATGCACAATGGAGGACCTTCTTGCAGCAACACCAGAAGCACTCCAAGTGGCCAAATACTGGTCAAAGGACATTTAATCAACTACCAAACTCACAAATTTTGTATTTTGTCTGTTTGTTTACTTTGTTCTGTTAGAAATGTAATATAATTGACTGGTTGCCCTGACATGACAAATATATATATATATATATATATATATATATATATATAGAACCATCAAGTCAGTAATGTCAACAGTTAATCATTTGTCACAGGTCTCATCAGCAATTTTTAATTACTGTCCATAACTTCTTCACCTCTTTCTTGTAGTTTTCCAGGCCTCATTTCTTCAAATAGTATCTTCTGCCCATTTGGGCCTCATTCATATGCCTTTCATACAATCTCACTCAAACTATACAGCATATTTTATCATGATAATCTGGATTTCCAAATATTTTAATTTAGTGGGTTGTTGTAGGTTTTTTCGGGCTATATGGCCATGATCTAGAGCAGCGCTTCTCAACCTGGGGGTCATGACCCCCGGGGGGTCGCTGGGCCATATTCTGGGGTCGCGAAGGTGCCTCGGTTGGCCCCACCCCTCCGCCTCCTCAAAATGGCTGCCGGCCCCTGTGCCAGGGAAACTGCCAGGCTTTCCAGGTCAGCTCCAGCTTGCACAAGGCCTCCTTCGCGCTCCTGCCAGTCAGCAAGGGTGCAAGTCAGGCGAGGGCCCTTTGCGCAAGGCCTTGCCTTGCACGAAGCCTCTCTCGCCGCCCTTGCGCTCCCGCTGAGCGGCAGGGGCGTGGGGGAAGGTGAGGACCCCTTCGCACCATCCGGCAGGGATGTGAACCCGGCAAGAGGCTCCACGTAAGGCCAGGCCGGAGGCACGAGCCTCCCTGCCGGATCTGGACCCAGACTCCAGAATGCACCAAGCAATGTCAAGGTATGTATATTTTCCCCAAACTTCTCCAGTATTTTATGTTGGTAATGGGAGTTCTGTATGCCAGGTTTGGATCAATTCCATGATTGTCAGAGTTCAGAATGCTTTTTGATGGCAGGTGAACTATAGCAACTCCCAAATGTCAGGGTCTATTTCCCCCAAACTCCATCAGTGTTCAAATTTGGGCATATTGAGCATTTGTGCCACGTTTGGTCCAGATCCATAGTTGTTTGGGTTCGCAATGCTCTCCAGATGTAGGTGAACTACATCTCCGCTAATTCCTCCCAAACCCCTCCAGTATTTTTTGTTTGACATAGGAGTTCTGTGTGGAGGTCTCAGTGGTCTGTGGAAGTCAGAGCTGAATCGGTTGAAGGTACTGCAAATCCCACCATCTGTTTTCCATACTCCCCCAAACATATTTTTTCTGATTAATTACAATGCTTTAATTATGTTGAATTTGTAACAATGAAAGCACATCCTGCCTATCAGATATTTACATTACAATTCGTAACAGTAGAAAAATTACAGTTATAAAGGAGCAACAAAAATAATTTTATGGTTGGGGGTCACCACGACATGAGGAAGCATATTTAGGGGTCCCGGTGTTAGAAAGGTTGAGAACCACTGGTCTAGAGGCATTCTCTCCTGATGTTTCGCCTGTATCTATGGAAAGCATCCTCAGAGATAGTGACGTCTGTTTGAACTAGGCAAAAGTGTTTATATATCTGTGAAATGACCAGGGTGAGACAAAGGACTCTTGTCTGCTGGAGCTAGGTGTGAATGTTTCAAGGCCGGAGAAGCTGAGAACCCAGTGAAAGGAGGGCCCAGCATTACCTGGCTCTGAAATAAATAAATAAATGGCTCAGGGTTTGTTTTGTTTTTACTCTCAAAAAAAAACATCCCGGAGCCTGTTGTCTAATTCTGACTTTCTTTCACAGAGGAAATGTGATTTCTGGCTAAGAATTTTGGAGTCGAGCCTCTTCTGGGATTTCTTTCCCTTGAGAGAAGACGGAGGAAGAGCATTTTGGATACGGTAGGGTTCTTCATCTGAGGGGATCCAACATGGAGAGACCCAAGTCACCTGGACCTGAAGCAGGAAGGGCTCCCGGGAAGATTAGGGAATCCTGGGAAATAACTACGCAGCTGATCCTGGATAAACACATACAGATCCAGTGCTTCAGGCGTTCCTCCTTCCGAGAGGGTGAGGGACCCAGAGAGGTTTGCAGCCACCTCCACTCTCTCTGCCGCCAGTGGCTGAAGCCAGAGCAACACACCAAGGCGGAGATGCTGGACCTGGTGATCCTGGAGCAGTTCCTGAGCATCCTGCCCCCAGAGATGGGGAGCTGGGTCCGAGAGTGTGGGGCAGAGACCTCTTCCCAGGCGGTGGCCCTGGCGGAAGGCTTCCTCCTGAGTCGGGCAGAGGACGAGAAGCGGGAAGGACAGGTGAGAGCATTGCCTCTTGGCTTCACTCACCTTACCACTGATGGATAGATTAAACGTACATCCTGCCTTCCTTCAAGATGGGACCTGTGACAGAGATAAGTTGGAACCCTGCTCCCTCGGCCTCTTTCCCCCCCCTGCTCTGCCCCTCCTGCTCTCACCTCCATAACCACTGTGAGCTCAGTTGCTGCTCTACTCAAATTTGATGACCCTGACCTTTCTACTACTGAAATTTTCTGTGCTCTTCTAGGCCCAATATGACTGCATTGAGGCCCACCCTGATGTCCCTGAATCTGAGAAACCTCCACCAGGCCCCACCCAGAGCCTCCACAAGGAGGAGCTCAACCAGGAAGGAGATGGGGGTGCGGTCTTGGAGGGTAAGAAGGATCCTTTGGGGGTGTTTTGCGGTTTTATACCGGTGTAACTTTCCCCTTCAAGGGATTGTAACAAATGCACAGGCTAGAAAAGACATACATGTAGGATCATTTGGCCTTGAGATGAGTATATAGGGAAGCATTTGGTTGCAAAAGGTACAATTTCTGTGTGATTTGGAGTATTCTGTATAGTTCTACTTCTACATTTGCATACTGTTGGGTGAGACTGAAATATTAGCCATACGGTATGTTCCCGGGTGAAACCCGAAGCTAAGATGAGGCCTGAAACTGTGCTGGAAGACAAACAGACAACCAAGAATAACTTTAGTCCATTGAACTACCAAGCCCATTACTAGTTTCAGTCCAACCTATTCACAGCACTGCATGAGAAGAAAAAGTGCTAAACTCCAAAACTTTTCAATTCCTGGGCTGGAGGATGCTCCTGTCTTTAAAGAGTCATAGGTTTCTTTTCAGGACTGTAATTTTAACCTCTGAGATATGTTTCTGTGATCAGCTTACCACCCCGTGCTCTCTCTCTCTCTCTCCCAGGGGCTGGAATGATGTTGTGGCTGAATCCACAGTCGCATCTTCCGCTTTGTGATGGAGTGGAACTGACTCAGGTAAGCAGAAGGATTCCTGGGAGAGGAGGAAGGGAGCTGCCTGGGGGTCATTTGCTGCTCAATCACCAAACATCTTTTGAAACAGAACCATTTCCAAAGATTCTTGGAATTCTTTTTTCTTGATTTCCCTTGTTTTCCTTTTCGCACCAGGGCCCAATCGCCTTTGAGGACGTGGCTGTCCATTTCTCTTTGGAGGAGTGGGCTCTCCTGAATCCTGGTCAGAAAGCCTTGCAAAGGCAGATCATGGAGGAGATTCATGGGATGGTGGACTTTCTTGGTAAGCCTCCCTCACAGATGAGGATTTCTATATCAAAATGCTGGATTCCAATCCTCAGCTGTCTGGTTTGTGTAATTTCACCAGACAGCTGATTATCAATGCCTCCCTGAGTCAAGGACACGTGCCATCTTGCCTGAAACAGGCCATAGTGAGACCAGTCCTGAAGAAAGCTTCACTTGACTCAGCAGTTTTGAATCACTACCGACCTGTCTGAAATCTTCCGTTCTGGAGCGGGTGGTCGCTCCTCATCTCCAGTTATTCTTGGACGATACTGATTATCTGGACCCATTTCAGTCTGGCTTCAGGCCTGGTCACTGTAGCGAGATGGCTTTGGTCACCTTGGTGGATGATCTCCGCAGAGAGCTTGACAGGGGGAGTGTGTCCTTGTTGGTTCTCTTGGACATCTCAGAGGCTTTCGATACCATTGACCATGATATCCTTCTGGGTAGACTCTCGGGGATGGGTCTTGGGGGCGCTGCACTCCAGTGGCTCCGTTCCTTCCTTGAGGGCCGTACCCAGTCGGTGAAGCTGGGGCCACCTGCTTGGACCCCTGGCTATTGACCTGTGGGGTCCCACAAGGTTCCATTCTTTTCCCCATGCTATTCAATATCTACATGAAACCGCTGGGTGAGATCATCCTGAGTTTTGGAGTTCGGTGCCATCTCTACGCGGATGACACTCTATTCCTCTTTTCTACCACATTCCAGGGAAGCCCCTCGGGTCGTGGACCAGTGCCTGATGGCTGTGATGGGCTGGATGGGGGCTAACAAGCTGAAGCTTAATCCTGACAAAACAGAGGTCCTCCTGGCCAGTTGTGGGACTGATCGGGGCATAGGGTGGCTACCTGTTCTCGATGGGGTCGCACTCCCTCTGAGGACACAGGTCCGCAGTTTGGGGGTCCTTCTGGACTCCGCTTTGACACTTGATGTTCAGGTGTCGACGGTGGCTGGGAGGGCCTTTGCACAGTTAAACCTCGTGCGCAAGCTGCACCCGTACCTCGTGGTCCATGGTACCATGGTGGTCCATGTCCTAGTCACCCCTAGGTTGGATTACTGCAATGCTGCAATGCGCTCTACGTGGGGTTGTCTTTGAAGATGTCCCGGAAACTACAGTTGGTCGAGAGATCTGCACCCAAACTACGCAATGGAGCTGGTTACAGAGAGCGATCAACCCTCCTGTTTAAACAGCTCCACTGGCTTCCAAAAAGTTTCCGGTCCCAATTCAAGGTGCAGGTCATCACCTATAAAGCATTAAATGGTTTGGGAGTGGCTTATCTTGCGATTGCATCTTCCCGTATGAACCAGTGCGTACCCTGCCTCAGTCATTCGCAAGATGGTGACCTGCAACATAATGCGTTCTGTGCTTGTGAATGTTTGGGGCTCAGGGTTTTTTGTGCACTGGGAGAGCCATATAGCAGTAATCCAACTCTATGCCCCTCTCTTTCAAGTGGTGAGAGTGTCATTCATGGTAGATTCACAATTCTCGTATGTAAAGAAGTTGCAGCTCCCCTGTAAAAGCCGGGCAGAATTAGACAAGTATTGGAACCAGAGCAATTGGCTGAACAAAGGGACAGTCCACAGAATGGTATTTCCAAGAAGTATCTGTTATTGCGGCATCTGGATTTATCAGCTGCTCTTACCTCTGCTGCACAGTCCTCTCACTCCTCACAAACCAGGATGGTAAGGAGGCAATATCCACTCTCTCCAGGGTGGTGTTATGTGGAGGTCACTATATCTGGTCGAGTCCTGCAGACATTCATTTTTTTGTTCCCTTCTCTGCCTTCATTCTTTTCCCCCCTTCTTCTTTAAAGTCACAATCTTGTATCTTTCCAGCTTTGTCAAGCAAAACAGTAAAATGGGTGGTAGCAAGGTAAAGTTTTAGCTAGAGAAAAAGGCGAGCATTTGAATGTGAAGGGAAAAGTCATCCATTCCCCCAGAAAGAAGGAGACAGAATAAATAGCCAGGCTGGGCTGAGGAACAGGTAGCCTCTGGAGCATATGTTACTCACCTCTCCCTCAGAGGCTCCAGCCGGCCAAAGAGTGTCCATTTTTACTAAACAAGGGGTGGGGAGGGGGCATCATTTATATCTTCTTTTCTTCCATACCCATCATTTCAATCACCTTCTTATATTATTTCCCTAAAGTCCTTATCACTCACACTGAAGAATAATTATTTCTGTCCTCCTTCTTCACAACAGATAACTGGAACACCAAACACAGGAAGCATTTGGGACACAATGCGGGATTTCCTAGACGCCAGCAAAGCCACAGAGAAGATGGAGGTTCTGCCAGAGAAAGGCCCTACAAATGCAATGTATGTGGGCAGTGTTTTACCCAAACTATGGGACTTATACTTCACAAAACACTCAGCGCTGGGAAAAGCCATTGTAAATGGAAAGTATCATCAAAATGTATTGCTGATTACAAAATGCCAGATTTGAGCCAAGAAGAAATCTTTGAAGGAACTGAAGATCTCATAAGCCAGGAGTGTGGGCAATCTGTTATCCAGAGTTCAGACTCAGTGAGGCACAAAAGACTCCACAGAGGAGAGAAGCCATTCCAGTGCCAGGAGTGTGGGAAATGTTTTACTGTGAATTCATCCTTGGTGAGCCACAAACGAGTCCACACAGGAGAGAAGCCATACCAATGCCAGGAGTGTGGGAAATGTTTTGCTCAGAGTTCAGCCTTGGTGAGCCACAAAAGAGTCCACACAGGAGAGAAGCCATACCAATGCCAGGAGTGTGGGAAATGTTTCGCTGAGAGTTCACATTTGGTGAAGCACAAAAGACTCCACAAAGGAGAAAAGCAATACCAATGCCAGGAGTGTGGGAAATCTTTTGCTGTGAGTTCAGACTTAGTGAGCCACAAAAAATTCCACACAGGAGAGATGCCATACCAATGCCAGGAGTGTGGGAAATGTTTTCTTTACAGTTCAGACTTGGTGAGGCACAAAAGAGTCCACACAGGAGAGAAGCCATACCAATGTCAGGAGTGTGGGAAATGTTTTGCTTACAGTTCAGACTTGGTTATCCACAAAAGAGTCCACACAGGAGAGAAGCCGTACCAATGCCAGGAGTGTGGGAAATGTTTTGCTTACAGTTCAGACTTTGTGATCCACAAAAGACTCCACACAGGAGAGAAGCCGTACCAATGCCAGGAGTGTGGGAAATGTTTTGCTCGCAGTTCACAATTGGTGAGCCACAAAAGACTCCACACAGGAGAGAAGCCATACCAATGCCAGGAGTGTGGGAAATGTTTTGCTTACAGTTCAGACTTGGTGATCCACAAACGACTCCACACAGGAGAGAAGCCGTACCAATGCCAGGAGTGTGGGAAATGTTTTGCTCGCAGTGCCAATTTGGTGAAGCACAAAAGACTCCACAAAGGAGAAAAGCAATACCAATGTCAGGAGTGTGGGAAATCCTTTGCTGTGAGTTCAGACTTAGTGAGCCACAAAAAACTACACACAGGAGAGACGCCATACCAATGCCAGGAGTGTGGGAAATGTTTTGTTTACAGTTCACACTTGGTGAGCCACAAAAGAGTCCACACAGGAGAGAAGCCATACCAATGCCAGGAGTGTGGGAAATGTTTTGCTGTGAATTCTTCCTTGGTGAGCCACAAAAGTGTTCACACAGGAGAGAAGCCATACCAATGCCAGGAGTGTGGGAAATGTTTTGCTTACAGTTCAGCCTTGGTGAAGCACAAAAGAGTCCACACAGGAGAGAAGCCATACCAATGCCAGGATTGTGGGAAATGTTTTGCTTACAGTTCAGCCTTGGTGGGCCACAAAAGAGTCCACACAGGAGAGAAGCCATACCAATGCCAGGAGTGTGGGAAATGTTTTGCTTACAGTTCAGCATTGGGGAAGCACAAAAGACTCCACACAGGAGAGAATCCATAGCAATGCCAGGAGTGTGGGAAATGTTTTGCTGATTGTTCAGCTTTTGTGAGGCACAAATGTCATCACACTGGAGAGAAACCATATCAGTGCCAGGAGTGTGGGAAGTGTTTTCCTTGGAAGCCATTAGTTCTGAAGCACCAGAGCATCCATACAAGAAAGAAACTGTACAAATACCTGGATTGTGGACAATGTTTTACTCGGAATTCA